AGTTTTGTATATTACACACGATTTCTATATATATATATATATATATATATAATATATGTATGTATGTATATGAGAAAAGAGAGAAAGATGAAAGAAGAGAAGAAAAAAGAGAAGCTGTTAACCGGGAGAATAAAATTTCGCGCAACAAGTTTCGACGATATCCACAGTCTCTATATCATACCGTAAAATAGTATGAGATAAACAAGTTCGCGACAGTTTCGAACTCGAAATTGCGGACCACGTTCCCTCTCTCTTTTCTGCGAACAGTAACGCAAATCCAATGCCAACGATAAATGGTCTCTCTCTTCATAGGCCGCATATGTGTCTCGGACACAATCGGTGTATTTCGCGGTTAAATCATCGGTTTTGTCCGATGGAAAATAGAACGCGACTGGCGAAGATACAACTGTTCGCGGTGCCCGCGGAGGTTGCGAAACCCAATAGCCCGGTGGCACGAACGACGTGGTTAATGCGTTAGCGGCTCTTTGCCACCCCGTAGGGTTCGAACAGAAATATATCGAAATGTCTCGCCTGTCAAATGCAGCAAATGCTCTAACAAGGACTTTGATGTATGGAAATATCGCGGAGGTGTTTTAGAATATTAAACATGTGGGAACATCACTGGTGCGAACACTCGTGAGAAACATTCCAAGTCATATTTACTTTAAACTGATGTACAGTAACTACAAAACTGGACCACTTTGCAACTTTAACTTGAGAATTAACTTGAGAATATTTATATATCAAAAATGTTATTTCTCTAATGTTATTACTAGTAATTCACAAAGCCATGAATTAAACGATTATGGAAGTGATATATTACATTTGGAGTCTTATCTATACATATATTATATATTTTAATGTATAAATTATTGAAAATTGTTGGATAAAAGACTTTTAAAATTTTAGATTTTTTCTTGGCAAAAAAGAAACGGAACGTGTTTAACCTGTAATTGTTTTGTTGCACAACTAGTCTATAAAAAAGTGAAGAAGTTTTCTACATTACATCACATGTAATGTTGAAAAATATCTTCACTCTCAACTATCGGTTTTCTAGGAAAGAAAAACGACACTTTACAATTTATTTGTCAAAGAGTTTCTTCGGCGTTCTTCCTACTCTCAAAAGTTTGATGCATCACTGAAAATGCATCAGATGCAATTTACATTTCGCCTCGTCGTTTCGCATCGCTGTATGCTCAACATAAATTTGTAACTTACCTTCGCAAACTGTATTAAAAGCTGTTAATTTTTTCGAAGAATAATTTTCTCTGCGAATCTTTAAGTTTATCTGTTGAGAATCGTGTAATATACATTGAATCCAGTGAAATACAGGACTCGTCTGTTAACATTAATAACATTAAGCCAAAATTTAGATCTTGTGAATTTCTTAGAGATAAGCTCACGACGATTAAGATTCAGATAACTAGATCGTTGAAGTTTGGTCTCGGATCAGAACTGCTATCCATTAACCGTCATGGTTTGCCTATATCCGTTCTCTTGTGAGGAGTAGTTCAAGTAAATCCTAAAGTAAAATCTATTACCCTCCCAATCAATAACCAATGGCGTATCGACAGTTGTGTCCTCTTTCCTGCATATATAAAATCGATCTGTCATCCTACGGAATAAAACTATTGCTCTTCTTCTGGTGCTCTTCGCTAACGATATCGTTGCATCAAACGGATAATAAAATCGTGAAGTGCAATAAACAAAAAATAATAAAACAATAATTAATAAATATAAAAATAAATTATGATAATAATTATTGAAAAAAATGCTTATATATATATATATATGAAAAAGTAAACGTAAAATTAAATATACATTTTTTTTTTAAGAGAACGCGTGATTGTCCTATGATTAATGCAGAGATTGAAAAAAGATAGCCCCTAAAGCGGTTTTCCGTTTAGAAAATGAGTTTACGAGAGTCCGCGTACACGTGGGAATTCGAGGGCAACTCGTGAATTTGAAAATTGGCTCGCGATTGTCACGGGAAACGTGACAGGATAACCGGAAAATGGCGCGAATTATGATGTTCCTCGTGCGATTCCCGCGAGAGCGACTTGCATCGTCTGGTCACGTAAATCGGGAAGCGCGAACTCGACGAGTCGACGGGAGTAGTTCCCCAATGGGTGTTTTTTACGCGACACGCGTTGATTTGATTGCGTTTCGCTTTGCCGATATTCCTGTCGGCGATGCGTCGCGATGCTTTCGCTACGACAGTAGATTCGTCATTTTATCGATCAAATAAGCAAATCCAAAGAGAGTCATTCTAAAGCCGCTGTGTTATGGTGTCACATACCCGATGAAATAAATACCTTTACCAATATGTTAAAAGAGAACTATGATAACAACGCAGAGTGTGTGGCTATGAATTCCTCATACTAATGAATTCCATTCCATAACTTTTTCCTGATATCCAAATAACATTTCATAATTTCTCTGATGTTTTCAATAATATTTTGAAATTTTT